CCTCCTCCTTCTTTTTCTTTCTATTTCTTCCTCCTTCTTCTTCTTCTTCTTTTTCTTCAGTGTTTACCTTTTCCCTTGGCAAAGTGTGTTGTGGTTTACAGTTAGACTGCAATATCTACGCCTTTATGCCTCACGTATCTGATTTCAGCAAGCCCCTGATTGGTCACCTTTAGTGACATGCTTGTGTAGGTGTGGTGGAGCTGTTAGTTTGTCCACCAGATTGGGACCCTGGAACACAAATGGGGAGTATTCTGTACCATTCTTCTGGTACATGACCCATCCCATCCTTCTGGTACATGACCCATCCCATCCTTCTGGTACATGACCCATCCCATCCTTCTGGTACATGACCCATCCCATCCTTCTGGTACATGACCCATCCCATCCTTCTGGTACATGCCCCATCCCATCCTTCTGGTACATGACCCATCCCATCCTTCTGGTACATGACCAATCCCATCCTTCTGGTACATGACCCATCCCATTCTTTTGGTACATGCCCCATCCCATCCTTCTGGTATGTGACCCGTCCCATTCAATTGTTTTATAATGCACCCCTGTCCCAAAGTTGTAATGTTTAATTCCATGAAACTAACACCCCCCCCCCCCCCCAACACAAAATGGTTTCTCTCAGGTACAAAGCTCTAATATGACAGACAGTGTTGAATTAATAGCTGTCAAGGGAGGAAAGCTCCAGGGACAGCCTCTGGGGATTTCTGGGGAAAAATTGCACTCAAGAGCCGTACAGCACAGTCTGTAGACAAATTGCACTCAAGAGCCGTACAGCACAGTCTGTAGACAAACTTGTGCCCTTCACAGCAGGTGCAGACTTCTTGGCATCTTCTCCATGGAGACCCCCCCCCCCCCCCCCCCACCCCCCCAATAATTAAGACATAAAAGAGATGGGGAATATAAATACAATTATTTAGACACTGAAATATACACAAGACTGTAAATGAGATATATATTTGTGTTGCTTTTAATATTACTAGTTGACAGAGAAGAATGTGAATTTTGTTGATCTGTTTGATCTATAATTCTTTATGTTCAGTCTCTTGGTGTAAAAAAAAATATTAAAATTAACACACACAAAAACGCTAGACAATGACTAGTAGGGTTTTAAAGTATGCATATTTTGTGACTGGCAAATATTGGTCTGGTATAAGAAATATGAGAACATTAATATGTCCAGACAGAACATGTTTATCCTCATACATTTATTGCTTTCACTTACTGCATTACCATATCTCCTGCATTCATTTTTGGTTTGGCTTTTACAGTTATCCCTTTTGTGCTTTGCAAACTTGAATGTGTGTGTGTGTGTATGTGTATATATATATATATATATATATATATATATATATATATATATATATATATATATATATATATATATATATATATATATATATATATATATATATATATATATATATATATGCAGCGGTCTCATGTAGATCAATGAAGGAAAATTTTAGCTAGTGGATGAACTCTATAGGATTTGGGGGGGATGTCCTGATTTTGAAATGAGTGGGCAGCACTTTTTTCTATGGGCCATTTTTGATTTCCAAATGTTAAGGGGGTTTTTAACCATCAGGTCCTCCTAGTTCTGCACTTATCTGTAAGGACATCTGGATAGGACATACACTGAGAAAATCGGATGACAGTTCAGTTAGAATGGCTGTATACTGGAATCCGTTACCACTAAGCCATTCCTGTCATTTCTTTCCTGTTTTGGCAATCCCATAAGTCATTGCTAAAGTAAAAAGTTGAGGACCCATTACCACGCCTCCAGATTTGTTGGGCATATTTTATAGACCAATAGGCACTCGATGAGTTATGTGGACACCATCGTGCCGACTGCCTTTACTCTGCTAGACTTTACCTCATGTCCATTTAAGACTGGGTCGACCTGCGAGCCAAGGTCATTTTTGAAAGGAAAAAGTCTAGCTCCATTTGGATTTGAACCTACGACCTTTGGCTCCACAGGCAAGCGTATCACTATACACCACAGCGGCGCCCCATAAATCATTGTTAATGGAAAGATATTGCAAACTAGTTTGTCCAGGATAATGAACATAAAAGCAGTACCAATCATCACAGATCAGATAAATAGGCAAGTGTTGTTAATACCAGTTTGAGCTGTGGTACCATAGTGGCTATATGCTTGCTTGCCAGCCCAAAGGTCGTGAGTTTAAATTTGCTGTGAGAAGTTCCCCCCCCAAAAACCTTGGTTCTCAGGTCGACCCATCCTACAATGGGTACTGGTCTTCAGTAAATGTCCCAGGAAGTAAAGTCAGTCGGTATAATGTTGACCACATCACCCACAAAGTGCTAATGCCCGATGTGCCACTGGCGTTTAAAAAAAAAAAAAAAATCCTGAATTTTTTTCACTAATAATATCAGCAGAGACCAGGTCTCAAAATCTCTGGTAAGTTAAATCATTCCATGTTCCTGCTTCATTTGAACAATGTCTTGTGCCGTGAACTGGATAGCCATTGTCTGCCAGCTTTGAATCACATCATGACTTTCTATAAAATTATACTTTGGCTGGGTACCAAGAAACGTCCTGGGAAGTAAAGGCAACAGCCATGTAGTTGACCACCTTGCCCTATCAGCCACAAATTGGTCTATAAAAAATATAGATGTAGCATCTTATGCCCGATGGGCCAGTGGCGTGAGAAGGGTCCTTAGCTTTACATTTAAAAACCTTATGATGGTCACACACACACACACAGGGAAATGATGGATTATAGTAGAAGTCTCTTAGCTGTTGCAGTCCCTGGCAGTGCCTGATGTTTGATATGAATTTACTCCTTGCTACCCCTATATTGCATACTGTTCTCTTACTTTTAATTTTTGGTCAGAAAATACTAAAGAAATCTGGCTTCTCCATCACTACACTGGTCACTGCAAATGTTGTATTGCCACTTTGTAAGAGTGTTTATAATTTTTGTTTTGTGATTATTTCTTTATTTTATATCTCCTGTGAAACCTTCTGGTACTTTAAGTTAAGAAAATGTGGACAGTATTTCATCTGAACTGTTGTTGCTGTTAACAGTTATCGGCATCCTCGTGTGCCATTATGCACTGCAGACCGCTTCAGGCAATCTCAGATATAGCAAATTTATGTTGTGAAGAACAGTTTCTTTATCCTGGACAGTTTTTCTCACTTGAATTCTTCTCTGGATAAGAGGGATTTCTGATGGATCCCCAATGAGTTCCCCTTATCAGGTCTGTGCTAATCACCTAGTGCGCAGTCTGTTCCTCGATTCTGCTGTAGCCTGTGCAATCCTTTTGATATCATGGATGGAGTCCAGTCCGGCACCCTTGTTCTCTCTCTCATCAAAGTTCAGTTGGGGGTTTCTCTTTGGAAGTCCTCATTGCATTAACAGTCGTGGACACAAACTACATAGGTTTGGGAAAGAATAGAAAATCAAATCTATAAAGTTGGAAACTGAAAGGTACAGTGTTAACAAAACAGTATGTACGTGTTAAATAACATATGAATGTTAGTTCCTTTTACCCGGAGAACTGTTTAAAAAAAAAAAACTATGTTAGGATCCTGAAAAAAATCTGTAAAAATAAGTTTTACACAGGTCACTAATAAATTCATTTAAAATGTATATATCAACATTTTAACATTAACTTTTGACAAGATATATGAAAGGAATAAATGTATCTGGTTACCCTTGCCCTGACCCCATGACCTTTATTATTCTTCAGGCTTATTAGAAAATCTGATGTCATCTTTGCTTTGAAAATGCCCTTTAGCACAAAGGAAAGCCTCTCTAAATGCTGTTATTAGTTAATTCATTCATATCCTCACCTCCTAAACGTTTGCGCAGTCACGAAATCTGGCAAACAGATCACGTTAGGCAAGTCAGTAAAGTGACATTTACGAGAAACTGAAAGTGTTGGTTGTTTGGCTTCTCAGAGCGAATGGGTTAATTTATCGTTTTTATTAGGAGGCATCTGCATGTTGAAGATGAAAGGTCGGACTGAGAAACAAGTTACTAACACTCTCTGTACTCAGTCTTCACAGTATGTTTCATTTATTGAGGTTTCTTCTAGGTAGACCATCTCTTGATGTTGTCTAACTTTTGCGTGATGCACCATCCCTATTCCCTCCAATTGACCCTTGAAAAGAAACGCACACAAGAATGGACAGTGCCAGAGTACCTTAACTGTCTGCACTGTATTTAGGCCCGTGTGATTACCACATTTTAATGCACTTATTCATGTGAAAAACTTATTTCATAAATCATGATATCATTGTTGGACAGCAGTTGCATTAAATATTTTGAACACACGTTTAACATAAAATCATGGAGTACTTCACTAATCTTGATCAACATCAGCATAGATTTACAGAAACATTGAATACTTTGAACAATATCAGCATAGGTTTACAGAAACATTGAATACTTGATCAACACGTTTTTGGATGGGTTTTTTTAAATTAAAAAAAAAACTTTGATGCCAGTATTGGCTAATATAGAAATCGGTACTGGGTTAGGGGAAAATAGACCCACTATTCTTTAACCCACTGACCCATAATAAGCATGTTGTAAAAATTGACTCATTAGGGATGTTTCCTTCAAGGTTGGAGTGCATCTGCTTGAGAGGCAAGGAACCAACATTTGGCTTATTTGTGCTCACAAAAAAGCCAGATCTATAAAACAGATGTGCACACAAAACAAATAGAAGAATAAGAATGAACCACAGTCATGCATAGTGTGAAAGGCAATTAATTAGGGGTTTTTTTGGTTGGTGTTTTTTTTTTTTTTTTGTCAATTAGATGTGCTGTGTTATTGAAAGATGTAGTTATTGCAGCCTAGCTGTCAACCAAAATGCAAACCACTCTCATGTGATCGATTTTTATAAATGTATGGTTAAATATTTCAAACATCTTGATAACACTAGTACAAAAACAGCAAACAACTTCACAACAGGTGACACCCGAGGCTAAACTCTTGTTATGTACTTTCTTTTGGCAGGCTTTCAGCCGGCCCAGTGACTTTCATCTAACGAGGTTTGACCGTGGCGAGCATCATGGTGGTTTCCAGACAAAGAAGGACGGCGACTCACCAAGAAAACGTTGACAACATCAGTGATATACCATGTGTTTTTATTTATGTAACATGAGTGAAAAGTTGAAATTATCTCCTCGGTTTTATTAAGAAAAGAAACAAACTGGTTAACTGTCAAAAACTTCATGAGGTGAAAAGAAAAGACACAAAAAACACGACCTAATACACTTGAAACTGCTGCCATTGCCTCGTTTGACAGACACCTCGTTGTAGATTTGTCACCTGACTGTCCGTCTTGTGTAGGAGGGTAGAAGAGTCTGTTGCGCACTGCTTGTTTGTTATAAAGAATACAATTGTTTTTGTTATGTTTGTATTACGTTGTTAGTGAAATGAAGGTAACTGTTTTCATAATGATTTCTGGGAGTACGGGACCTGGGAGTTCAAGATGAGGAAATGTTAATACCGTTGTCACATGTTCTGAGAGTATGGGAAACTGGGAGATTGATTACAAGGAATTGTAACTAATATTTTACTGTGATTTTTTGGGAGATTGATACGAGGAATTGTATGTCATTGTCACATTTCCTGGTTTGTGGGAGTCAACATTTTCCTGATTTCTGAGATTATGGGAATTGGGAGATTGATGCACGGAATTGTAATTGTCAGATTTCACTATCTTTGGGAGGTTGATACAAAGTGTTTCTACAGTTGACCTGTGTCACTCATTTCTGGGAGCATGAGAGCTGGGGAATTTCTACAAGAAATTGTTATTATGATTGTCACATTTCACTGATGTCTGGGAGTATGGGAACTGGGAGATGGATACAAGGCATTGTAACTGTACTTGTCACATTTCACTGATTTCTGGGAGATTGATACAAGGCATTGTAACTGTACTTGTCACGTTTCACTGATTTCTGGGAGATGGATACAAGGCATTGTAACTGTACTTGTCACATTTCACTGTTTCTGGGAGATTGATACAACGCTTTGTAACTTCCTGTCACATTTCACTGATTTCTGGGAATATGGGAACTGGGAGATTGATAGAGGGAATTATTACGTAATTTTCACATTTCACTTATTTCTATGAGTATGGTAATTGAGAGACTGATACAAAGAATTTTAATTACAGTTGTTACATTTCACTAAGAGTTTTGGGGAGGTTGATTCAAGGAAATGGTAACATAAGTGTCATATTTCAAAGATTTCAGTTAGTAAATCAACTGAGACATTAATACAAGGAAATGTAACTGAATGTCATATTTCACTGATTTCTGGGAGTTTTGTGGAAGATTGATAAATTGTAACTACACATGTCACACGCAGACACTCATAAACACTTAAATGTCCATATAAACACCTCATATAATTATGTAAGCACCTCATTACTATAAACACATTCATTCACAGAGATAGTCAGGGAGGTGCATTCACACAGTTGAACACTGGTTTGTGTATTCAGGGGCGCACAATCACATAATTGAACACTGGTTTGTGTATTCAGGGGCGCACAATCACATAATTAAACACTGGTTTGTGTATTTAGGGATACACATTCATATAGTTGAACACTGGTTTGTGTATTCAGGGATGCACATTCATATAGTTGAACACTGGTTTGTGAGTATATCATGTTTCTGAGAAATATTCAGATGGTAAGTGCATGTTTGTAAGCAGGTCTTTTACTTTACAAAACATAAACTGTTTCAGTACTCACAAGTGTCTAAAAATAAGTATCGGTACCCAACCACAAAGTACCTGTTACAGCAGCACTGAATCAGTTGGTGTGTTGGGTAAAGCCAGAAAAAGGCCCCTGTTTGTATGTTCATTGACATCCATGAGGACAGCCATACATATTATCTCTGTGTATGCATGTATCTAGAATGTGTGTGTGTTCTGTGAAATGTATCTGTTGTACATTGAGAACTATAAGAGACTGTAAGGTTGTATCTTTGTTTCTTCAGTCAGCCTCAGTTCTGATTTCCATCGAATCATCCACAGCTAAGTAGTTCCTCGCGTAGGAAACTTTGCCGATTATAACCGTAATGTGTACATTTTTTAATCATATGGCCTCCCCACAAAAACTGGCCTATATATAACCAGTCGGTCATTGGCAAAGTTTGCTCTGTGCCAATGTATTTATTGTTTTGGTAGGTTAGAAGATATGTCAATCATATACAGTGACTAGTGGGGACCATCATCACAACACCCCCAGGACAGATCCATAGCTGCTCTGTTCTCCTTCTCAGTAGCATAACGAGCCCATTCTGTGTTGATTAATCTGACGTCTTGTGCCCTTAGGAAAATGTTTATGCATGATTGCGCCAGGTTGCATTCCCATACCCACCTGGAAGGGAGTACAGATTCCCGCCCCTTGTCATAGTTGTCTTTGTGAAATGCATCTTGCATGGCAATATTGACATCACTCCTGTCCGATGCCGGGCCAATCATTGTAACCTCATAAGAGCACAATATTGTAAAGTTTAATGTAGAGGATATAGTTGAGAATAAACAAGATTTTTAATAATGAAAAAAAGTACAAAGTGTCAGTATTGTTGCCACCAACATGGGGGATGGGCTTGTTCCAGTGTGTGTTCTGTATGATCATAATTCTTCATAGACAAAGGGCCAAGACACCAGTAAAATACTAAGACTTTTGTGAAAGCTCCCTCATTCTTTCTCCCCTATTGATGGATTTTGTTAGTGTACTGCTGCCTTCTTAACAATGTGAATTGATAATGTGAACAAGAAGACTGGAACTGATATGTTTCAAAGCTTGCTAATGTTTTGGAATAAAAAATATTTCAACATCTTGCTGTCTTTGAAATTGTGGTTGTCTTGAGGAGAATGTACACAAATAGGACAGGGTATTGTCACTTTAACCCATTCTGTCTGAAGGAGTTGAACTTAAAAGTAATAAATAAATAGGTTTTGAACAGAGAGACTATAGCACAGAAGTAGTTACATAATAATTCAGACAGAGAAGGTTAATATAACATCTGTGATGGAAGGCGGCAGGAACATCAATCTTTGAAATTACCAAGACACATAAGGTGAGTTGCTTGAGAAAGGTTCTTCGAGTGGATCAAGACAGAAAATAGTGTTATTGTAACAGATCTGAGTTAAGAACTGAACATGCAATCACTTGGAACATTCCCATCAGCTTCAGCGCCCAGTGCAGATGCCAGCAGCTGTGTGATTGTATGTCCATCTTGATTTCCTCTGAGTGAGCGTTGGTTACTTTTGTAATCGCTGCCCCATTCTGTCCAGACTGTGACCCCGCCCCATTCTCTTCAGACCGTGATCTCGCTCTTTTATACTCTCCCCATTCTCTCCAGACAATGATCTCGCTCTTTTGTACTCGCTGTCCCACTTTCTCCAGACCCGTGAACTCACTATTTTTTTTTGTCTCGTTGCCCCATTCTCTCCAGACCGTGACCTTGCTCTTTTGTACTCGCCCCATTCTCTCCAGACCGTGACCTCACTCTTTTGTACTCGCTGCTCCATTTTCTCCAGACCCGTGACCTCTCTTTTGTACCCGCTGTCCCATTTTCTCCAGACCCATGACCTCTCTTTTGTACCCGCGGTCCCATTTTCTCCAGACCCATGACCTCTTTTGTACACGCTGTCCCATTTTCTCCAGACCCGTGACCTTTCTTTTGTACTCGATGCCCCATTCTCTCCAGACCCGTGACCTCTCTTTTGTACCGACTGTTCCATTTTCTCCAGACCCGTGACCTCTCTTTTGTACTCGGTGCCCTATTCTCTCCAGATCATTTTCCGGCTCTTTTCTATTGTTCACGTGCTCTCCTAAGACTGTTTCCACTTGGTCATGCTTCAGTTTGCCTCCATTGGTGCAAAACCAGAACTGTGTGAGTCATGAAGATTATGACATCTGTGTGTAACTGTCACAGGCAACGATCCAACTATGTAAACATAAACTGAAGTAGATAATCATAACATAAGCTTTTGTAAATGAATATTAACTCTTTGAGTCCCAAGGAGCGCATCATACATTCATAGGCTTCTACCTAGAAGCCCAGTAAACGCAAGATGCACTGATTTTACGTCTCTCTTTACTACCACTTGGGCCTGCGATGCTAAACCCTCTGGGACTCAAAGAGTTAACAGAGTAAAGCAAACTCAATATAGGCATAACAGATGGCACTTAAAAGACTGTTGCCACAGAATAAGAGAAACATTTTCATCAAAACAAGTTTTATTTGTGAAGTTTGTTCTTACACATTAAGCACAACAGTTTTAAACAAAACCTGACATATTAAACTACATCAACAGATCATATTTTTATCTAACATTTAACTCATTTTACTTAACAGTAGAGGAATGAAAGGGCATTTGGTGCTAAATGAGGGTCACCAAAATGTCCTGTGCTGAAAAGGGACATTCCACTAATATTTTTAGCTGAAAATGAGCCATCCCAAGTCAATCATGACCACGCTTGTTATTTGTTTCCCTAGGCAACCTGGGTGAAAGGGTTAATTACTTAATCCTCAATGGTACTATAAAAACCCGAGCCATTGATGCTAAGAAATTAACAACAAATACATGCTACAATGAAAATTCTCGCCAACGTGTTTCAGTCGTTAAAAGTATCTGAAACTATAAAATCTAACAAGATCATCATCATCATGTAGCAGGTCATTTGCAGAACGTCGCTGTCATCACAGTCTGCCTGAAAGAAACTCAATCTCTCGCCAGCTCTCATGCTTCATGCACTTTCATACTCAAGGAGTCGCTTATATCCTGTGCTCATCTTCGTGTTGGTCGGTCCCTGCCCCTCCTTCCTGGCACCATGCCTTCTGCTATTATGTTTTCCAATCCGTCATGGCCCTTGATATGACCAAAATATTTCATCTTCCAAGACAGAATGCTCTTTATTAGCTAATCTTCCTTGATGTTCAGATCTTTCAAGATGTCAGTATTTTCTCCTCTTCTTTGTCCAAGATATTTTGAGAATCTTTCT